CACTTCGATGCATATGCGTAATTGTAATGTCGGCTTCGTTTCTTTTTTTCATTTTCGTTCTTATTTGTTTTATTTAAACATACATACGAGCAGAATATATGTATCGGTTTTATCACCTGTTCCAAATAAATAAATAATTAGTACATGCGTTAAACGACATCGGCTTTTATTTTTCATCGAATCAAGCACCTCGAATGGTGTTCCCATTTGGTGTACGTAGAAGCCCACAAGAAATGTGTTATTTGATTTCGGACCATTTTTCTTTTGTTGTTTTTTCTGTCATTCGGTTTATGGATATATAGAACCCAATCAATTGTCTTATCTTTAACAAATTTCCGTTTTCAAAATTTGCGATAAGGAGTCCCGCTTATGCATTTGGTAGGCTACGGTCAATTGCACGGATTTTCAACACACCGGGTCACCGTTTCGTTTTCATTTCCTGCGAATAAATATATCGACGATAAAAGAAATGGTTTGCTATTGATATGACTCTTTTTTTTGTCACGCTGCTTTTCAAAAACAATGATATTATGTGGGTGTGGTGCGCACACCAATTGCCCGTCGGACGTATCAATTTATGATCAATGCTCACCACACGCTTTTCAATTGACATTTTTATATGAAAAATTATCCAAACAAATACACATTTTGTTTGCCATACGATTGCTTATACGCGAAGTATGATATGTCCTTTTCACATTGCATTCGAACATTTGCTTGATTGCGATAAACCACAAAATAGATGTATATGTTCATTTATATTGAACACCTTTGGGTGAATTTGGTTTCTACGTTATTTATTCGAGGTAAATCATCATTGATCAAACAATCGTGTTTTACTAATCCCTAAGATTGGGTATTTGTATACTCACTTAAGACAGTATCAAACAAACCACCCAGAGAAATATGTTTCAAGTGGGCAATTCGATTTTTTTTTCGTTATTTTCTACAAAGTTTTGTAATTTGCGAAAAGAAGCATTTACAATGATTCACAGTTTGTTTTACTGGACATTGTTCGTACTTTGAAAAAACCACTTTCGTGGAATTTACAAGTTGTTTTTGTACATGGTTGCAATGCAAACACCATGCTTAATTACAGAAAGAAAAAAAAACAAATCAAAAGTGCATTTGCTCCAATTTATAGTTGTGCAAGCATTAAAATGAATATATAACAAATTTTATTGCGCGATTTGTGTGACGCACAAGGCCCTTGCCCGTTTCGTGTGAACGATACCAAACCCCATCGAACGGGCGAAGAGAGGAGATAGATAAAAAGACACATACTTTGGGCAAAACAATGCGCAATACAACAACTGGATACACAAAAGTCGGTCAATAACAACAATATGCGGGTGGTCAAAGAACATTCAACCAAACCTACGTCGGATAATGTATTGCTGGTTTTGTTTTTCATCATTCCTTTCTTTTTATTGTTTTATTTTTATTCTCATGCAAAACGCGATGAAATTTAAATAGCATTCTGGTCTTCCATCAGTTGACGAATGCGTGTAACCGATTTCCATACAAAAAAACCGGGCAATTAAAATAGACTAAAAACCAGTGTTACTCTTTCTGACTTTTGTATTTATATCGGTGTATGTCGTCAACTTGCTAAAGTAAATTGACGTACATTTCAATTAAAATGGATAAAAGTTTCAACATAATTTGGGAAAAAAAATCTGGTTTGGTTTTTGTGCGAGTTTTTATCATTGCTGTCTTAATTTCATAGTTAAGGCACGTACAACGAAAAAAAACGGCATTGTATCGACCTAAAATCGAATGGTTTCGATGAATAGGCGGTTATTTCTTATTCGCACACATACGCAACATCGAATATTCTTTATTTGAACTTCATTTCCATTCGAAGTAACGTCAATTGTCTATTTTGATGATATGAAGGTCCGCAAACATTGCAGAACAATTCCCAATTAAATATTTATGACAAACCGAACACTTGCACCAACCACACAAAAAAATGAATACAAAATCGAATTTTTGGTATCGGTCGAATGACGAGAATTGTTCACGTCAACTAAACCAACTAGTCCATATGTGACTTATTTTTCTGAAGTGTGAATTATTTATTTCGGTTTGGCTCAAACTTTTCTCATTTGAATTTTACGAATAATTTAAACTTTGATAATTCGATTTTTTTCTCGATATCTGTTGTTCGAATTGACAAGTGTGCGAAAGTGCTTTGCTATTTTTTATCAACCACATACACTTGCGTAAGCTTTGTGACAAAAACCACACTAAAATATGGACAAATGTTCTCCACTCAACAATAAGAATGTTTTAAGGAAAGTAAACAATATCTCCAAAGACGAATTTGCTGTGTATAGATAAAAAAAATACGAAATTGTGTTGAATCGTACACTTTTATTGGATAGCAATTAGCAAAATATTTAGATAGCGAGTGAAAAGCGTTCGCCATACAGCCACATGTTTCTATGGTCCGTTTAATTATGTGCATAAAATGAATTGAATAATTTTGGTTCGACTGTATTTTTGGTGGTTCGTGTTTATTTATTTTTTCTCTTCTCTAGAACGTTCGTCTCAATCAATTTTTTTTTGTATGAATGTCAAGATGGGCGCACTCTTTCAAAAAACCAAGCGAAACCAACAACAATATTTGAAATGAGAAAACGAAATATGCAACCGATGCCCAACCAACTCATATGACAGATATACAGTAGAAAAAAAGAAATATTTATACGCAAAATTAAACAACGATCGAATTCATTAAAGAACTTATTTGGGACACAAAGTGAAGCGTAACGAAAATGCATTAATTTGTGAATAATTTAAGCGGTCTTTCAGCAGCAAAGCGGGCAGAGCAACGGCATTGCGCGTTTGGAGACCATATGTTTGTGTGTTCAACGGTGAACAATTCAACCGAATACATCACAAAATGTTCGAGTTTCAAATGTTCACCGCATCGACGGTTCCAAAAAACCATCATATTTTGCACATTTTCGCTGACGAATTATCGTTTGGATACGCAAATTCGCATCGATTAATGACTCGAAAAATGATTTTCGATGATGAATCGATGGGATTTTTTTTTTTCAAATAGAAGAAATTGCAGTAGCACTTTGCGGTCAATTTCAATTTGATTTACCATTTTACACTTGAGAAAATGTTTCCTCTCATAAACATTTTTGAATAATACACGATTCAAATCAATTGCAAATTAAATTTTTTCAGTCGTCGGTGGTTGAAACGACACCAAAACCGAATGTTCAGTCTGGAAATTTGGCGCATTTCCTGAATGTTGAATCTGAATTTGTTTGGTGTTTGCGCGTAATCGATGCAATGCGACCGCATTTTGTCGGAAAATTTTATGCATGCACAAAAAGAGCAGCACGATGGGTGTCACATGGAAACCCCGAATTGTATATATACGCAAAGATAAATGCCGAAAGCGCGATGCTACACGGCTTTTTCATTTACATAATGTAAAAGTAAATGAGCGTACGATCTCGCGAATTTAACTTTTCGCAGTCAGAATATACGCGTACATATATATATTTTCTATGTAAAAAACGAAGACAAAAAAGAGCAATACAGATGAAAATATACACAGAGAGATAGAAAAAAAACCATGCAGCCAATTTTCTTTTCACTTTTCCTTGTCGTTGGATACGGGTGCATAAAATGTGCCAACACTGAAAAAGGAAGAAGAAATTATCCTTACTATTTCATCTCTTAACCCCCTCGATTCGGTGCCGTTCGTCGAAATGGCACAGACTTTCGATCTAGTTTGTTGCTCTGCTTTCAAAGTCGACCGTCTGCGACGACAATAAATTTGTGGAATGATGATAAGTTTTTTCTCTTATTTTTAGTTTGTTGCTGTTGTTGCTCTGTCTTCGTTTTTAAGGAAGCCGAAAAAATGATTCATCTTTGCTTGAACTTGGTGGCAAAAGCGGGCGCTCGATAAAAATACATATACACCGAAAATATTTGGCTGCGATCATCTTCGACTGATAAATTTAATGAATATATTACACACGAATTCACACAAAGAATTCGATGTTTGTATCGCGCATTTCAAATGGAACAGAAAACCCATTGAGCAATTCTTGTGTTTTGAAGCAACAAACGGGATAAAACTTCACCCTTTGTCTTTTATTCATATTCGTTCACTTATCGCTTTCTTCTTATTCTTGGTTTGCTTTTAAATGTTTTGGCATTCATGTTGTCGGAAACGAATTTTCGACGATTGAGTTAATTAAAAAGTTTTAGCTTGAAATTAGAAGTTTACACTTTAAATTACTATTGTGACATGAAGATATAGAAAATATTCTCGTAGCGGAAATTGTAAATCAAATGTAAAAAGTGCACGACAAATATTGTAATATGCAATAAGAACAACACACGCACGCACACACACATGAGTTTTGAAAGATAGAGCACGTGAAAAACACGAGCTAAACTAGTTCCGTGCAAATAGTAAATGTAATTTCCGAACAACGTTTCGTTAAATAATTCTTTTTTTTTCTTCGTTCGTTCATACCTGAAACCTTAATGTTAGTTAGAGTTGAAAACAGAAAGGGGTTTTAAGACGACACAAAACTATGCAATGTATCACTACGCAAAATAAAACCGACATTATAAACAAAATCGAGCAACTGCGGAGAGAAAGAGTGTTGTGTCTGTGTGTAATAAAATGAGGAAAATGAAAAGGATGCTTCCGTCACCCGAATATGAAAAAAAGAGCCGAAACCGAAAATCATACTGCGAAAAAGGTGTTTGATAGAGTTTTGAGTGTAAAATAGAAACTAACCGAAAAAAAACATGTGGTGACAAACACAAGCAACGATGATGATGTAATGAGAAGAATTTTATGAATTTCAGTCGTTTCGAGTTTTTTTTTTGTCGAAACAATTTTTTTTTTAATGTCATATCAATCGAATTGTTCGTTACACAAAGAAAAACGTTGAATACACAAATTTTAAACAAATTTAAAGGAATTACTACATGAATTAAAAATGTCTCACCTTGAGCAATTCGAACGGCTGGCATTTTGATTCTCATTTTGGCAATTTTTTTTATCTGACACTTCACAGCCTCGAAAATAAAAGTCAATTTTTCTTTGAGTTGCTTTATCTGATAAAACAAAGCAAATAATTCACTTCTTCATTAAAACCATGCAATTTTATGGTTTGATCGTATTGTCTTTTATCTTTGACGCATACATAAATCGAAATGATTTCCTTTGAGTTGTTATTAGTGTTTATAATCGTTATTCTCACTTATTGTGAAATGATTCATATTCATATTTGGTTGGATCTGTTTCGGATTTTTAGACTATATAAAAATCTTATTGGATTATTTTTTCTGTAACAGAAATTAATCCATAAATACTGGCCAATGTCCGCTAAAATTCGTTAAATATTCACTGCACTAAATCATTTTCTATCATGCTACATAACTTTTTCGATTGATTTTCAAAAAAAACTGCGAATTAAAATATTCTGTCAAAGTGTTCATTCGCTAGCAATTCATTGCAGTCCTTTAATTATGTGTGAAAAATAATGCTTATTTAAATAAAATATGTGTGTCTTTGTAAAATCCAGTTTGAAAATCAAATGATTTCATCACTTTTTTGTAGATAATCCGTGAATTTGACGAGAAAAAGAAATCCAATAATAAAATCCAAATTTAAAAATTTATTGCACAAAGTTGAGTTTTTGTTTTCTTCTAAAATAAAATTTATTTTAATAATCTTTTGAATATCCAAAAATAAAAACAAAATATTGTTCAGCTCCTTCAAATATTGTGTCACTTGTTATCTTTTTGAATGTGGTAAATTTTTTATACCGAACATAAAGATGTTTAATTTTTTTTTTCAAAAGTTGATGTGTTTTCGCAAAAAAAGTCAAGTCAAAATTAACTGATTTTATATTGATGTCCACTTTTTAGAATCGTTATTCACACATGTCACTACAATTGATTCAAAAAGTTTTCTTCAGTTCAAATTTTTCGTAAAAAAAATAATAATCAAAAACTCGATGACAGTATAGTTCTTCAGTTGAATGGAATTGAAAATAACAAATTCGAATAAATCGTCGATTTGCATTGACAATTGGTTGCAGATGCACACGCTACAGCACACTTTACACACTTTCTGAATGAGAAAATACACTCAGTGCAGAGAAGAGATATACACACAAGAGGAGATAATAATAAAAAATTGAATAGCCGACAACACGTCGCAAACGTCCTTACAACGCGACAGTCCGTTTACATCTAATATGATGGGCCAAACAAAATACGTTATATCACGAGCGAGTTCGAGTCGCGCTGGTCACCGGTCCCACCATCAAAATTGTAAATATACTACACAACTCCACACACTCTCTCAACCAGTCAGCCAGCGCGCGTTCTCTCTCGAGTACAACAAATATCATCTCTCACTCTAACCATGTACAGTACAAGAGTAAAAAATGAAACACACAGACACAACATATAGCCAGAGCCAGCCACTAACATACACTCTCATGTGCAATGTACATAAACAACAACATCAACAGCAACAGCAGGCGAAAATCAGTCACTCTTTCTACATAGACAGCGGGTGCCGCCGTGGATGGAAAATGATATGAAACGCGCAAAATATATAATCGTATGGAGAATTTGTTGGATGGAACGCGTGATGCACACACCAAATTATGTATACACATTATATACATATGAAAAACTCGTGCGCGCGGTCTAAAAAGATCTACGCGAACAGCGACGTCGGTGTGCGGTAAGAAGTGAACGCGCGATTTACAAACAGAAAAGATGGAACAGAATGAAAAAAAAAAAACACACATACAACATGTACACAAAGCAAGAGCAAGAGAGATTGACAATTATCGGTGTGTTTGCAGCGAATAGCAATAGGTAAGTAAACATGCACACAGCACATCATCGTAGAAAAGAGTACTAGAATTGCTTGCCGGAGCAAACAACAAAAACAATAATAAAAGCGGCCGCATTAGGAGGCACAACAACAACAAAAACAACAGAACCATACCAGAAACAGATGAACTTAAGTTGGAAATAAGCAAAAGTACTCTCGGCAATTCGAAGTGAAGCAGTCGACGCTGCTGTTATTATTATTATCGTTTCGGTCGTATAACGTACTTTTTTGCCGTTGTATCGATGCATGTATGTTCTCTGGTTTAGTATATTATGAATATATACTCTCTGCATATCCGTTCATGCATCTGATTCAATTTTAAACCCTCTTCGCAACGATATTTTTCACAAATACAACCGCATGTACAATAAACGCAATCACACCGACAACGGCGTCGACGACGACGACAATAATGATGTCGTCAATTCAATTCCAAATACTGAGAGTATTCTATATGTACAGTGAACACACTTGCACGCTTATGAACCTAACAAATAATGCAAAGAGGGAAAGAGTATACACATAACGCAATGGATGTGGATTGATTTGAATTTGGGTTTCGATTCCGTTTTTCTTGGTGCATAGATCTTCGTTTCGATTGTCTCATCAATAAAAAAACGCATTCCGTACAGCGTTCAGTAATACATAAACGTCGAAAGATAACAATTGCTATTTATGGAAATTTCGGACAATTTTATACCAACTGAAACCAAAATATACAAACGCATTTCTCCGGCCGATCCGTTTACATCGAATGGAAATGGAAATAGTTATATTTCGGATTGAAAAACCGTCGCGCTATTTATTTCGATCACTCACACATGCACGCACATGTGGGTATATACAAACACATGCATTCAGTCGGCCACCGATGAAGGCGGAGGAGAGGAGAGTCAAAGTGGTTAGCAGCTCGCTCCGAAATACATAAGTGCGTGCGCGATATTTTGCGGTTTGTCGTCGGAGTCGATGTGTGTTGGATTATATATTGTGTGTAGTTAGTTCGTTTATGTACTCATATGGACTTTACGGTCGTCAAATGGAATTACAGCAATTTGCTGGAGAAACAACTTACACGATATATTCGCGTGAGCAATGTCAAGCGCATATGTGTAACGTATTTGATGTTCATCATTATTTTTCTTTATTTTTAGCACCATTAATTTTTTTAATGAAATTATTCAATGTTTTTACGCAAAATTTTTTTAGAAATACAATTTTTTAAACGTTTTTTTTTAGAAATGGGTCGAAATATGCGAACGAAGGAGAAGATCGGTGACAGGGGACAGTGAACTATATTGTTGCCGTTTTTGCGCACACGGCGGGGTGAAGAAGTATAAAGCTCTCACGTGTGTGTATGGAGAAATTGACCGAGACTTATATAATCGTTCGTGTGTGGAAATTGATACATACGAGAACTCTTATCAGGCGTATGAATACGGCTGGTTTTTATCGATATTCCATATGCGCGCGCGTCACTGTTAAATAGCCATTTATCCCTACCTACGTTCAAAATCGGCGCTTATTCAAACAAACACATATGCATTCGTATTCAACGCATATGTGAGCTTTTTGGAGAAATATAGACAGAAAGAGATGCACAAATATGTATATATCGCAAAATCCGTACAACCGTTTAGGTAACTTAACAGAAGTGTTAAAAATGGAAATTTTTATGAATATCGCCACACTTAAAAGATCATTTTTGAATAATTTTTTTTTTTAATAATTAATTCCAAAATAAAAAGGCCCGAAGAAGAGTTAATTTTTTTCTAGAATGAGCAGAGGTTTCGGTTGAAACTCAAAACATTGTTTTATTTCAATTAACTCGTATTATGTAATCTAATTTCATTGCCTTGGTTTCTCCCTTCATTGTCATTCAATCGATTTCAATGCTACAGCATAAAGGAATTGAATTATATTGAAATTAGCACAGATTGATATCATATAAGCATGTTTTACTAATAACCTTGCGTGTATATCGCTTGTCAATTTGAAATTATTATTTTGTTACAATTTATATGCGCTTTTCAACGATATCACTGAATTTGATGAATGAAGGGAACCCGTGTTGGTTTTTATTATATGCAACCGTATTTTTTTTTTGTTCAATGTTCTCGTGTAAAATGCAAAAAGTAAGAAAAAGCAGTTTAAGGAGGATGAGATAAAGAAAGAGAAAAAGAAATAATCTGTTTTTTTATCGCTGTCGTCAATTTCATTGCCAAAAAGCGAAATCCAACGCCAAACACATTAATTATCCTTTTAAAGGAAAGACCAGTAGTCGCGAATGCGTTCTAATTCAATACTTTTGGCTGGTAGCGATTGAACATATATAGAATTGGGACACGAAACAGCAAATTATTATCGTGCAACAAACATGAAAAATGAAGGAGAAAAGAATACATAAATTCACGCATAAAAAAAATGCAAAAATATTCGAAACAAAGTAAAAGTAAAATCAAAGACGAAGAAAAAAAAATTATGAGAAGACGCAAGAGCCACATAAATATAAATAAAAGAGGCATCATGGAACGCGGTGCGAATCAGATGCAATATCCACGCCGGCTGTAGAACTAATGTAGAGCATGCGGAACGTAAAACGTGTACCGAAAGAAAAGTACCATAAAAAATATACTTTTTTTCGCTTCGAAATAAGAATGGTGCAAAAAAAGGAGATCGCGCGCTCGATGGCTTACAAAAAAATATGTAAACAACGAAAACGCAAAATACAAAAAAATACACACATTTTCAAGAAGAAATAATGAGCGACAAAAAAAATAAGCAACACCAACCAGCTGTTTTGCGATATACACCAATTCGTCGAAAAAAAAGAAGAATCGTCGTAGCACGATACAAGAGAAATGCAAATACACAAAACGCTGTTGATGAGGACGATGACGACATCGATATAAACGCGGCTATGTGCGTTTGAGATTTGTCTTTCATCCCTCGTTGTGTTGGTGTTTTTTTTTTGTTTCTTATAATCGTTCGCTTGTCAGTGGCGGCATAAATGAGAACGCCACACAATAATCACTCATTGAATCAAAACGAATTCGACTTAATTACCGCAATTGAAGTGAGAATATTACATTTTCTCCACTAGATGAATGCAAATTCGATTAATTGAACAGTTTATCACGGCAAATTTATTCACGGTATTTTGGCTCAAGTTTTCCGGCAACAACGTCAGTTAGCATATCTCAATACAAAAATGCAGCAAGAATATAAGTCAGCTGACTTTCTGAGAGCAGTTACTCTTTTTTAACCGGTTCAACAAAACAGATTTTAATCTCTTTCTCTTTCTTTTTTTCGTTGTCTTCTGTTCTATGTCGCTCTTTTGCCCGATCCAAAGAAGTTCAAGGCAAAAGAAAACCAAAGTGCAAACAAAGAACCTTTTCTTTCGTAGCAGTCAAATCGTTGTTTTAAAATTATGAATGAAATTCCTTGTATACGGTGTTACACACTTAAACTCCAAAATGTTCGGCAAGTGTAAGCGCGAGACGTGAGCGGCATGGGATGACGAGAGAGAAAGAGAGAGAGAAAGATAGAAAAAAAGCGCGCACATCAAGCAGAAAGTCATTAACCACCGGCACATTAATGTTTCAATATTTATTCTGTGTCTGTTTGCGTGTAGCACTTTCCTTTTTCCAGGCATTTTTGTTCATTAGCATTCTCTCTTCCGCTTCTGTTTTTCGCCCAAAATTTCAAGATTTCTTCGGAATAAAGG